TTTTGTGATTTAGATTGTTGCCACCAAATCTTGTCCTGCACATGAAATCTGCTGCACTTACGTACCAACATCCCGACCTTTAAGGTTCATAGTAGGACACAATCTTCATCTCTGGATGGACTCTGTGGCACAGTTCCCTGGGACACGGACTTTGGGCGGTGTTGAGAAAGGCAGGCTTTGAGCACACAGAGCTACTCTTGTCTGCTATCTAGTCAGGGATTGAAAGTTCTAGAAGGCGTTTCAGCCATATTTCTGTCCCTTATTTTCTCACCATTGACTTTCACATGTCTGTGACATTTCTCCACCCCATGTTCCCCATCTCTCAATGGAAAAGGAATCAGAAAAGCAGTCAGGTACCCTACAGCTTTTTACTAAGACTCCCCAATAAATTGACATACTTTACAATTCAACCACTGTACTCAAGAAACCGCCTTCCAGGCTTGTCCATTTTTTCTGAAGAGTTTAATTCTCAAGCTTGACAGTGATGTTTTTGGTCTCCTTAACTTATATATGCTTTGAAAAGCAAGGTGAATATCACTGCTCCTGAGCCCGCTCTATGTTTCTATAATGCTAAAGGGCAATTTACCCTGTTTCTCAGCCTAGTTTGAGAGTGTGCTGGGGAGTGGAGGCTACCAGTGCAGCAATGCCTGTGTAGCTTTCCCGAAGTTTCACATAAATGCCTCATAGAAAAACATCACTATTCCATGAAGGCCTAGATTGCTTCTAGATTACTCAAGGACTTCTTTACAGAGTGGTCTTCATGTGGGTGGATATCAAAATAGTCAACTAAAGTAGACTAAATGAGAATTATAAATTCCCAAAGATTAAATTTAAGGGGTTGCTCTCCCAACTCCTCTTTCTAGAAGTTGGATTTATGGTGGGAATAGGACTGAGGATTTGTTTCAATAATTAGCTCTCTCAGGACTGTAATTCAGTGTCTAATATAAAATATTTGATATATTCTCAGCAATATGAACTGTCATGCCACCCCAAGAGAAAAAGGAGAACAGTTAGGAAACATCATTGGAAATTAGGAGTTAGGAGTTAGGAGAAGAGCTAAGAGTTAGGAGAAGAGCTAAGAGTTAAGAGCTAACAGTTAGGAGAAGAGCTAAGAAAAGCAGTAGTTCCAGACAAAGGCTTAAATCTGCAGAAAAAGCAAGATCAAGACAGTTCTTGAATATCTCAACCTTCGGCGGACTGATAAAGCAGGAGATACAGAGAACCTGGATTCTATTTCCAGTTTTGCCTAATAAATGAATTTTACTACAAGTAATTTCTGTGCTACTGTTGTTCCTGTTATGCAGACAAAATAACATTTACTCATTCTGTCAAAATACTTTGAGATATGGCAATGAAATGCATTATTATGAAACAGGAGTTTCTATTGGGTGGCATACCTCTCATGAAAGAGTCTTGAACTTCTTAGCAAAATGAGTCAGTGCTTCCACCATTAAAACTGCTGAAGAGCAAGGCAACACTGCACAGTGTATGAAAATGAGTGCTATCACAAACAAGGCCCATTGAAAGTTTAAAAAAAAAAACGTTTCTCTTTTTCCTGTTGCAGGAAATGCTATCATTAGAGCAGTGCTTTATTTGCAACTCAAGACTACATAAAAGAGAACTTCAAGATGAGATCAATTCTAATATTTTCAGATGCACAACTGCTTCTTGATCCTGATGCAGCTTTGTTAACTCAGGCAATTCACTTACTTAATCAACTCACTTTGCAACCCTTTGAGAATGCTTAATTACTACATCTGCTCCCTCCTTGTATTGAAGTGTCATAACACAGGAGCAGAGTGCTGTTCCTTTTGGTCC